CTCGTTCAATGTTTTTAACGGACACATAAAAGGCTTGTTTACCCGATCTGCCATCTCAAAGCTGGGAGGCATAGCTAACAGTCAGATGGCCAAATCGGGGTCATCAGGAATGTGAACTTGCTTGACAATGAATAGAAACTGCAATAAAATGAAATCTTAACAGCTGGGCATACACATAATCCCGTATTTGTGTTCCAAAAACTATCTAAGTGCCTAATGGGAAAGTGATTTGAAAGTAGATCATGTGAAAAAGACCCGAGGTGGTTGGTTAGCAGGAGCAGGTTCTGCGAGAACCAAGGGTATAGTGAGAAGATGGTGGCCTCACGAGGGAGGTCATCCCCTTGGTCAGTACTATCACCGCAGCCTGAATGCTCTGCCCAGACGTGACGGCCACGCCACCAGGGCCTTAATCAGGATGGTGTAGGGCAGTGGTTCTCAACCTTGGCTGCACATCAGAATCACCTGGGAATCTTTTTAAAATCCTGATTTCTGGGCCTCATCCTCCGGGAATTCTGTTTCTTTGTTATGGGGTGGGGCCACAACATTAGTAACAAAGAAAGAAACAGAATTTCCGGAGGATGAGGCCCAGAAATCAGGATTTTAAAAAGATTCCCAGGTGATTCTGATGTGCAGCCAAGGTTGAGAACCACTGCTCTAGAGGCTCCCACGGGGCTCTGGGCGTGGCTCAGGTGAATGTCTTTGTCCTTGAACTGGTTGAACACAAAGAAAAAGTGCTGATCAAGTTCACGGTTCGAGCACACCAGTGGGACAAACAGCTGCCTTGTAGGGGACACAATCAGGATTCCAAATGTCCTCGATGGGCGTAAACCACAAGGAGGAAGAGAATAAAAATCAACGCCAAGTCCTGCGTTCAGGTGTACGGAATCCAGCACACAGAGGCAGGCACGGTCTTCCGGGAAAAGGGCCTGTGAGCTCAGCGTGTGCCAACCACACGTCGGCTTAATGTGATGAAGCTCTACCACACAGCGAATTGGGTACCTGGGGGACAAAAGGGATGGGAGGAAGTTCTCCCTTGATATCTCACAAGACCACCTGCTTGCCACAGGACTCCTGCCTGGGGAATGTGTGTCTGGGGAGGGTGGGGGCAATGTAGGGCATGGTCTGGTTCCAAATCCGGTCGGTCATTAGAACCACCAGTACTGCTTGTTTAAAAATATAGACTCTGGCCTCACACCAGATCTACTGAATCAAAATCTCCAAGCGTGGGATTGGAAAAGCTCACCAGGCAGGCGGTTCTAGATTGAGACTAGACAAGATACAACATATGAAACGACTGATGCCTAGGTTTCTTAAAAAATATGAACACATTCTGGGAACACCCGGGCAAATTCTAAGAGAGGTTGTTTATTAGATAATATTGAATTCTTGGTAATGTTCTTACATGTGCTAATAATAGTATTTTGGAAATGTAGGGAATGGCTTTATTCCGAGGTGATACAGGCCAAAGTATTACAGAGAGAAGTGCCATGTCTACAACTTTTTTTTAAAACAATGAATGAATTTTTAAAAAGCAAAGGAGAAAATATTGAGGCAGAGAGCATTCATTGTACTCTTCTTTCAACTTTTTGTACGCTTGAAATTTTTCAAAAAATGGGGTGGGGGGAGGTAAGCTACCTGGGCTCTGATGTGAGCCCAACATGAGGCCCACAGACAAGACAGCCTTGCGGTCCCGTGTGGCCCAGGGAGCCTGCAGCACCCTGAGGCTGGCTTGTGGCTTGCAGAGCCTGAGGCTGTGTTAGGGCTGTGTTCGTGGCTGAGGCTCTGGTCTAGAGTCTCTGGGTGTGATAGAGGCCACAGCGCCCCATACAGGTGCTGTGCACTCAGGGGCCCACCAGTCCCTGGGCCGTGTTGACAAGCTCAGGCACTCACAGGAGAAGCCGTCCACCACATCTCCCTGCCCAGTCACACAAAGCCACGTCACAGCGCCTTTTGTCCTGCTCGGCCCTCTCTAACCTCGGGGTGGGTCCCTGGAGGTGGGGCTGGCCTGGAGCAGTCAGTGCTGGATTCCTCGATGATCTCCATGAGGACATCCAGAAAAGCAGGCCAGACCGAGGCTGGGCATGGAGGCAGCGGGAGCAGGAGGTCCGTGCTTGTCATGAGGCCTCCCCTGACCAGCTCCACTGAAATGAATTCTAGCAAGTTACACGGGAGTAGCTCATTTCCCTCACATCCCTGTAATCACGTTATGTGTATATATTAGTGTCACAGTCTCAATCCAGAGACTGAAATAAAAATGTCGCGAGGGATAGACATTGATTAGGGAGTGAGCCCCTCACCCACAGACGCTTCCAGCAGCAGAGCCCACCCGACTGGACTGGCCCTTCCCCCCTGCAGCCTCCCCTGAGAGAAAAGAATCCCTGGGCATAAATGGAGCAGAAGGCAGGGTCCCAGGCTCAGCCAGAGAATTTGGCAGAACTCAGGAAGGGACGACTGGATGGTGATATGCTCGGGTTCCATGTGAGGCGCTCCTTTGATCAGATGGACACACTTCATGCAGGGAGAGGCCCGGGGGTCTGTGCGACCGAGGCCACAGAGAGGCCCAGGGGGTCTGTGGACCGGAGACCACTATGCCATGGAGAGGCCCAGGGGGTCTGTGCGTCTGAGGTCGATGCCATGGAGAGGTCCAGGGGGTCTGCAGAGAATTTCAGAACTCAGGAAGGGACGACTGGATGGTGATATGCTCGGGTTCCATGTGAGGCGCTCCTTTGATCAGATGGACACACATCATGCAGGGGAGAGGCCCAGGGGGTCTGTGCGTCCGAGGCCACAGAGAGGCCCAGGGGGTCTGTGGACCCGAGACCACAATGCTATGGAGGGGCCCAGGGGGTCTGAGCATCCGAGGCCACTATGCCATGGAGAGGTCCAGGGGGTCTGTGCGCCCGAGGCCACTATGCTATGGAGAGGCCCAGGGGGGCTGTGCATCCGAGGCCACTATGCCATGGAGAGGCCCAGCGGGTCTGTGCGTCCGAGGCCATGGAGAGGCCCAGGGGGTCCGTGCATCCGAGGCCACTATGCCACGGAGAGGCCCAGGGGGTCCGTGCGTCCGAGGCCACGGAGAGGCCCAGGGGGTCTGTGCGTCCGAGACCATGCAGAGGCTCAGGGGGTCAGTGCATCTGAGGCCATGCAGAGGCTCAGGGGGTCTGTGCATCCGAGGCCACTATGCTATGGAGGGGCCCAGGGGGTCTGAGCATCCGAGGCCACTATGCCATGGATAGGCCCAGGGGGTCTGTGCATCTAAGGTCGATGCCATGGAGAGGCCCAGGGGGTCTGTGCATCTGAGGTCGATGCCATGGAGAGGCCCAGGGGGTCTGTGCATCTGAGGTCGATGCCATGAAGAGGTCCAGGGGGTCTGTGCATCTGAGGTCGATGCCATGGAGAGGCCCAGGGGGTCTGTGCATCTGAGGTCGATGCCATGAAGAGGTCCAGGGGGTCTGTGTCCGAGGCCACTATGCCATGGAGAGGCCCAGGGGGTCTGTGCATCTGAGGTCGATGCCATGGAGAGGTCCAGGGGGTCTGTGTATCTGGGTTCAGATAATCCCAGTCCCACCTGGGGAGGCTGAAGTGGGCTGATCCAGAGCAATTCGAAGCTCTGCCCAGTATTTCCATTTTAAAGTTTGTTTTGCTGGGACTCTTAATTGAAACACTGAAACAATTCAAACATCACCACTGTATACCAACAAGACTTCTACATGTAAAAATGATAGGGCCACTGCACTTTCTAAACCAGTTATCTCTGTTTTTCACAATGATCAGGTAGTATTTTTCAAAGTGAGTAAACACTTAAGATACTATATTGACGTAAAAGTCACGAGTCCCTGCACAGCAAGGAAAGAAACCCGGAGGCTGTGGACAATCAGGTCAGAACAGCACGGTGGCAGGGCGGGCGGCCGGCACCAGGACCTCTTCCCCGAGCCCCGCTCAGGCTCCTGGAGAAACACTGGGACCCACTGTCACCGCGCCAGCAAGGGAAGTAACAGATGTTTTGGTCACAGTGACATGCTGGCTCTCTATCCCTGGGGAGAGGCTGGCACAGCTAATGGGGAACAGTGTGCTAAGAGGACAGTATTAATCAGACTACCCTGTTCTGACGGCCCCCCACAACTTCTTTAGCCACAAAAAAAAGCAGAACAAGGTTCATCCCTGTCATCTTGCCTTTACCTTAAAGCCTTGGCATTTTTGTGAGAGACATTTCTGTTCTGGTGACACCACTTGAAATGACAGCAGTGATGTAGCGCGTTTAGACAAGTTCCTGGGTCCTGATTTGACATCTCACTGCCTATACTTAGGACGCCCATGATAGATGCCTCGCAAACCCCAGTCTAGGGATCTGGCTCAGCAAACACGTTCCCCCAGCGATACCTGCCTTTGGGCCACTGGCTCAAACACCACCTGCCCTGCGCTACCCAGGCAGACACAGGCACAAAGGGAGCAAAGCGTGAGCAGGTGAGTCGGTGCGCACAGAGCCTTCCTGGGTCCCTTGATCTGTGGAACGAAAGGCTCACCTGGAAAGCAAGGAGCGCACCGACTGGGCACCATGGAGTGCCTGAAAGGAGCTGCATTTCCGCAGGCCAGTGGGGACTCTGCTAAACCCACAGACGTCCTCCAACCTTCACATACCGGTGACTCTTTCTTCCCAAAGAGCTAAAGAGGGCGGGAGTCAGAGGACAGTAAAGCCCCTTTGGCTTGAGGACAGACAAGAAACCAGATGCCTCTTACCCAGCAAATCCCGTATCTGAGTCCAAAGCCTGTGTGTAGGGGAAGCTTTGAACGTACCTCGTGGTTTCTTCTTAGTCCTTGTGCCTCGTTCCTGGGGGGTCACTTCCTCAGAAAGGTAAACCCTGGATTTACCCACATATTTCCTCACGAGTCAAATGAGGAGAGTGGTATTTACCTCAGAGGGCCTACGGCAGAAATCTCAGGCCCCATGAGAAGAGCAACAAGAAACAAATACACAGGTGGCCTAAAGCAGGCCTACGTTGTGAGTATGCGAAAGTTTATCTTGTATTATTATTACATTATTGTCTGAACAACTGTAAATCTGCTTCTGCCCTGCCCAGCATCATCCCCGTCGACAGGGTAACACAGAGGCGCTCTAACAGCTTCTCTAAGACCCACTCAGGTCCTAAGAAGGAAAACGCAGCACAACACCGGGTTCCAGGAGCGCCGCGCTGATGCATCAGAGACTGTAGACTCGGAGACGAGAAGGTAAGGTGCTTCCCATACAGTACACGCCGAGGGGCACGATCGCACCATCTCACACACACAGTCCTCCAGCTGACCCGGCGCAAGGTCAGCCCTGGATCAACAGGTGTCGCAGTTCCTTTAACAGTTAGTTCCACGTCAAATAAAATACTAACCAAAAAGGCTTAGCTCTTTCGTCTTTTAGGGAGTTTAGTCCTAAATTTAGGATTCCATCATTTTTTCAAAGAAGCAAAGCCTCTCAAATACATGAGCCCGAAGAGGGCATGTGTCTCACTGCAGATGACACACGCTTCCGAGGTGAACACTAGGACGGCTTTCTCTCCGGGAGTCCTGCCTGCTCCTTAGCTTTGAGTTCTTCCAGTTTCCTCTCATAGCAAGTCATGAAATAATCATCGGGCTCAATCCCTGCGTTCTTCAGGTTCTCCATGATCTTTTCCAGTCTGGGGACCGATCGGGCTCCCTCAATCTTTCTTGTGCTCAGGTACAGAGTGAACTCCTGGAAATCCAGGAGCTTACAGGTGTCCGCAGAACAGAGATTCCTGATACCATTAGTTCTATCCAAATGAGGGAAAAACACCAGTCCCGACAATCTCTCCAGGTCCTGAAGGCTCACTTGGAATTCACTGAGTTGGGGTTGGAAGCCAATGGCTTCATTGGGCACCACGAAGGCCCCTAGTGCCAGCGGTTCAGTCGACTCTGGGCTTCTGCGAGCCAGGATCACCTTATACAGGTGTGAGGGGACCGCCACGTTGTCCTCACCGATCACCTAAAAACAAGGCAGCCCTATTAGTGATGCTAATCGATGCGAGCAGTTCCCAAATGTTTCCTGTGAAAACGTTAGATGCATTTCTAAAAATGCACTGACAAGATACCCCATCACAATGAACTTACATTCAACGGCCAAAGGTAAAAATAAACCAAAATACAGATTCACAAGGAAGATGAGCATTTAGTAGGCAGTTTCTGATTATTTCTTAGAAATAATGCCACCCCAGAGAGCAGGGGTCACATCCCTGCTCCGTTTGTAGGACAAAGGGATGCCAGGAGTCCTAGGCTTTTAATGGACAAGAAAGGCTGTAATTTTCACTTCATCTCATAATCAGAACTTCTGGTCTCTAAACATTTAAAGGTCAAACTGCCAGCTTGGGAACTCCCGCTCTAGAAATAAAAAGATGCTCTTAGTTTATCAAATTCACGAGGGAGCTCAACAAACAGCCTTTACTTTTAAAATGAAGTAAATGTAAACGCTGCATGCTCGGAGGCTTGCACACACTGGGGCCAGACACAGCTTCTGCAGGTATCAAATCAAAGCCTTTGCAAAGGTGTCCACACAGCAACAGGGCCAGGGCCAGGCCTGGAAACGGCATGGCTGCTCGTGTAGCTCAGCTATCATGATAAAATAACAGTGATGAGACCTTCAAATCTCCTTCCAGTGGGTTTAGAAGCCACATCTGTTTTCTCAGAAAGAAACCTGCACATGCATTTCCTTAATGGCCTCCCGTACAACGACACAATCCAGCACCACTGTGCTCGGGCCCCCTGCCCTTCTCAGGCCTCCTGCCCGAGCAACCCTGCCGCTGCGGGGGCCCCCGGGGGGCAGATGAGGCAGAGGGCCGAGAGCCGCAGAGGGCTCTCTCTGCTTTCCCCAGGCTCCTACCTACATGGCACGCAGCCTGAGAACTCCGTGGCCATCTGCTGTCTGGCACGTACGGAGGTCCCACTGCCAACACCACGTGCAGAGCCGCAGGGAAGACCCATCCCAGGAAAGATTTCTATAACTAACTGCCTCTGAAGTTAGTGAAAATGGCTGATCAGGGAGCAGTTTAAAGTCTGTGAAATTATACAATCTATAGACACAAAACCCCCACCCCCTCCAACAAGTCATGTATGCAGCTGGGAGGAAAACACATTCTTCAAGGCAAAAACACACTGAAGGTGAACTCCACAGAGGTCTACAATGAGCCCAGAGATCACCAGCAGATGTTAATTCAACTGTGCAACCCCAGGGTCCTGTGCCTGGCACTGCTGGAAACACAGAAAGGGATAAAGCTCTAAAGTAAATACCTGCTCTCCAGAAGCTTCCCATCTCGAGGAGGAATCCACACACAGCTTTCACTGCAGGTAGAATGTGGTGAGACACCACTACAGAGCACAAGCAACAGCCCTGAGGGGTCGGTGCAGGGAAGTCAGGGACCAGGACGGCCCGCACAGCTGCAGCTGAACCATGATGTACCAGGGGGGAGTTTATATGGGCATCAAGTGTTCCAGGCACTAGCTGGGGAGCCTGAGGTTGAGCAAATCCTTGGTGCCACCTGGTGGACATCCTCCCTCACTACAGTACAGTTCTCAGACCAACTGAAAGGAACCTTGGACACCATTTGATTATTTTCTCTCCTCAGGGGCTCTCTGTCTACAAACAAATAGCAATTTTCAAAAACAATTAATTGGTCAGGTTCATCTGCTGCCAACCAGGGCTTCTAATCCAGTTCATTAAATTCCAGCCCAAAGCAAGTAAGTTTGACATTTTAAGATTCATCGTTTTACCTCAAGGAAATCTATCATTTCTATTAGGTTTTCAAAAACTCTCACAATACCTAGAGGACCTCTATCACTACTTTTGAAAAACCTCAGAGACCAAGAAGTTCCTACTACTCACAAGGCGTGATTCTCCCACCCACGACCTTCTCACACTATTTCAACAAAGAGGGGAAAACACTATCCCTGGAAATAAAGAGAAAAATGAAAACTTAGCCACTCACTATCCTTTTTGATTCAGTCTGCTTTGTTCTCAAGAAGTAAACATCTTTAAGACAATATAGAAACCAGTCCTATTTGGAAATTGAGAAAGCCCATTGTTTCTTTCTTGAATTTAAGACTTAAAAACAATCCTGAAGTATTTTAGAGCTACCATCTTCTTTGTAGACAATTCAATCTACATAATAAATTTTTCCACTTTTGAGAAAACTGGAAGACTTTCAGAAAATGTTTCTAGACACTACTAGGGTACTGAAGCAGATTTAGTAGTAGGGTACTAAATCCCAGAGACCTGCTCAAGTCCTGGCTTTGCCACTAAGCTGTAAGACACGCCCACCAGAATCTTCTTCACTGATTCATAAAATAGGTAATAACCCCAACTCTGCCTATTTCAGAGGATAGTTATGAAGACACAAAGACATGTTCATTAGAAAAAGGAGACTTTTAAATCTGCAAGACTTCAATAAAAAAGCTATTTTTGTAGTGCATATTATTCAAAAGACAAGAATGCAATTGGTACAAAAGATAGTTCTGCAGAGGGACCGAGGGGAAACCTGGGGTCGAGCAAGATGAGACCAGTTAAGGGAGACACTAGGTTTCAGGAGGAGAAAGCATGGATGCAAATGATGCCCTAAACAGAGGACTCGAAGACTTAACACAAACAAAACCCTTTCCACAGACGACTTCGGTATAAAAATACTTTACAAAAGAAATCCTTGCTGCTGCCCAAATACCAAAAAGCACTGAACTCTTATCAGATTGTAACAAAAACTGGAAATCAGCTGGGAGTGACTAGAGATAAAACTATACGCTGGCACTCACTCGGGACTTGGAGTTAGTTCTAGTCTGTGCTGGCCTGGGTGTGTTTCCTTCCGTGTAAGAGACAGAAATGACAATTTGCTGCCTTCCCCCACCTCCATCCCCACCCCCAAATCCACACACACAGAGCTGGGCCTCCATGATGTATCAGTGACCAAAGACACCAGCAGCAAATAATACCTGGTCTACGTTTGCCGTTCTTCACATCAACTAGGCCTCAGGTGAAACACTAAGCGGGATCGTGAGAAAAACATCTGTACCTGCTAGAACCAGACAGATAAAAGATACTTGGGTTTCAAAATAAAACTGTTGGACACATCGAGAGACCAAGCCCTTAAAAAAGTCATGCCAATCAAGTGAAAGAAACTATGATCCTATATAATAAAGAGCTAATATGCTAATTAGACCGAACAGCAGAACGACTGTCCGGATGACCTTCCGGACAAAGCCAGGGCTGCGAGGGCCGAGCCCCTTGCACGAATTTTGTGCATTGGGCCTCTAGTAATGTCATAAATCGGGACTCCATACCTGAGAGGACAGAGGACAAGAAAAGAGGGACTCACACAAGTGTGGAAAGTCAGCAGGAACGTGGCCAGCCCGTGTGCCATCTGTAAAGTCTCTGCAGGTGCTGCAGCTGCGCAAACCCTGGGAGACAGGCCTCTCCCACTGGGGTACCTGCTCTGGGCAAGACACCGGAGCCTGCCACATCACCGTAAAACAAACCCTGTCTTCCCAGATGTCAATTCTACTTGAATATTAACCAGTAAAATAATTTATTTTTCAATTAAAACAAACAGATACGAAAATGAAAAGGTTTGCCTAAAGATAAAAAAGGAAATTTTTTTTTTAAATTACTCCCTGATCACTTCAAGTGATGCCTTAAGATCCCTGGGCATGTGTTCCATGCCCTGCGCTCCAGGAGTGGGTGACAGTTGGTAAGTAATGCTGCAGAGGGAACACAGACTGTTAAGCACCTGTTACCACCACCACCGGGTCATAAAATCTGAAGCTCACTCTGTTGTCAGGTCAATTAGAATGTTCAGGCCAGAATCCTCCGGTGTGTTTCTCTTGTGTGGAATCAGTCTCTTCTGGAAACACGCACATCAGAGAGAGCACAGGGGTGGCCTCAGCTATAATAAAGGGGGTGATTCTGATTAGAGCTGTCAGGTGACTCACTTCTGGTAAAATCACTGCTACTTACATTCCCCGAGGCTCACATTCACCCAGTCCTATGAGGCTGTGATCCTTCCCTACATATTCTACGGGACATTTCTGCCTGCCTGTCAGGAATCCTCCTCTTGGCCCATTTTCTGCTATTTTTGCGCGCTAGCAAATATCACTCCTAACTGCTCTCCAGCCACACCATCTTTTACCTCCTGGCCTTCAGCTTCTGTATATGAAGAGCGCATCAATCCCTCGGGAGACTTTTGAGAGCTTCAGAGAACAATGCTCCGAATAACTGGCAATTCTCATACAAGCAGACAGACCCATGCCTGCATCTCGCCTTTGACAATTACTAGCTATGTGACTTGGACTTGACCCCCCGAAACCTCAATTTCCTTACCTACAGAAGATGACTACTTGGATGTAAGGACTGTTTGGGAGGACTGAATGAGATAGATGTATAGAGCTATTTATAGTGTGGTCTATATGGCCCTCAATAAATACCAGTTCATGTGCTTCATTTCCTCCAAAGTATACACATGTATGCTTCATGCTACATAGAAATCTAAATAAATACCCTTACTTTTATTAGGTACATTCTCCTAAGATACGGTTCAGAGAATACTTGTAAATAAGCAGTAAATATTAAAAGGCGAGATCTGAGAAAACAAAATGCTTCCGGGCACTGGGAATTCCCTGGGAAACAAGAATTCACAATTCAAATATTTATTCCTTTGAGGAACAGACCACCCTCTGGGGCTGGGCAATGCTGGGCCCTCTTTCTCAGCATCACTAACGGACATGGTTTTGCCCACAACTATTTTACGTGAATTGCTAGCAAACCGCTGAACCTTTAACCTGGGCACTCAAGGTTTTTAACACCTGGCCCCAGCCACCTTTCCTTCTATTTCTGTCTCTTTCCTAATATGAACGCTCCAACCCAAATGTCGGGAGCTCACTGCTTCTCAGCACAGATCCTACCTTTTTCTCTGTCTTCTGTTTTCCTCCCGTGTCTGTCTTCCTTAACCATATTTTTTGTCCATGCACACATAAAAAATTTCTAGCCCAATTAAAGTGCCAAGCTCTGAGACAATTTTTCCAATTTACTCAGTGATTATATTTTGCTTTAGATATAGACATAGATATATGCTGATATGCTAAAGATTTTAAGTTTAAAATTTCACCTGAAAGCAAGTTCCATTTGAAAAATAATGCCAAATCTAACAAAAGCTGTTAGTTGATTACAGAGAAATTGTTAGTAAAAAGTAAAATATATAAAGGTATATTTTACTTTTATATAATTCCAAGAAAGAATGAAAAACTATATGCCTCACTAGAAATATAGATTCCTATTAACATTCAACTTTACATTCACATCCACCTCTCTCTCTCTCTCTCTCTCACACACACACACACACACACACACACACACACACACACACTATGCTTTCTTTATGACCAGGAACTATAAATCTCATTCTCAAAAAAAACAGAGAAAAATGGAAAATGGAGAAAAAAGGCTCCCAACAGCGAGCCACTAAAGCAACAGAATTCACATACCTCTTTCTTAAGGCTCTCCCCACCTATTATAAAAGGCTAAAAATAAATGTGGTGAACACACATGACAAGCCAAACAGCCGACCGAGCACTCAAGAATCAACTTGTCATCCAGATCCTGGTTTCTAAATACCAATCTCCATTAAAAGGAACGAGGGCTTCTCGGAAAAATGGATAATCCCAGAGTTTGGCCAAGATGAGCCTGGGAAATCACGTTACCCCAGAAAGCAGGAAATGCTAAAATGATTAGAACGTGTCAAAAGGACACAGGCGACAGCTGGAAGGAGCTCCCACTGCCCAATATGGGAAAATCTGAGCATCAAAAGGAATACACAGTAAACTGATTAAAACTCACTGAATAAACTAAGAGCCCGTGAGTTCACACTGATAATAAATATGAAGGATAAGCTCCTCCTCAGGAGAAGGTCAACTAATAAAGTAGACGGGGTGGCTCGGTTCGGGAAAATCTGAGCATCAAAATGAATACACAGTAAACTGATTAAAACTCACTAAATAAGAGCCCATGAGTTCACACGGATAATAAATATGAAGGATAAGCTCCTCCTCAGTAGAAGGTCAACTAATAAAGTAGACGGGGTGGCTCGGTTGGTTGGAGCGCTGTCTCAGGCACCAAAAGGTTGCGGGTTCAAGTCTCAGTCGGGGAGTGTGGCAGGCAACCAATAGATGTTTCTCTCTCTCTCTAATATCATAAACATATCCTCTGGTGAAGATTTTAAAAAAATGTAAAAGGAATAAGAATTAGAAAATCGTCATTTGGCAACTATTATAGTAATAACTGACTCAGGGAAGAATCATTAACAGGTGCTAAAACTAGCAGGTGAAGGGAAGAAAATTTAAATGGTCTCAAAGTATTTCCAGAGATCACTACTTCATTTCAAAGGGGAAAATGGTAACTGAGCAGTGACTGAATCTGCAGGAGACCACCTTAACCACGTGACCGAAGCTATTATCGTCAATAGCAGGACAAACAAATCACATGCATCCTGACATGACCACTGAGGCGCACACAGGAGCACCGCTGTGGTGGTCTGCCAGAAACATGACTGAACCAAATCACGAGGAAAGAGATAGACCCAATTTGAGAACATACTGCAAAACTGGCCTGTATTCTTCAAATGTCAACGTCATTAAAGACAAAAAGGCTGCAGGACTAACTGTTTCAGATTAAATGCATCATCCTGGATTGCATCCTGCATCAGTTCTCCAGTGATCATTCCTTCCTTGAAGTGCTTCCGTCACTTGCCATCTGGGACCCCACTCTGATTCTTCTCCTGCCTCAGAGGTTGCTCCTTCTGTCTCCCTTGCTGGGCGATCCTCCTCCTCTCAACCTCTGAGGCAGTGGTTCTCAAACTTCTGGCCCTTTAAATACAGTTCCTCATGTTGTGACCCAACCATAAAATTATTTTCGCTGCACTTCATAACTGTAATGTTGCTACTGTTATGAATCGTAATGTAAATATCTGATATGCAGGATGGTCTTAGGCGACCCCTGTGAAAGGGTCGTTCGACCGCCAAAGGGGTCGCGACCCACAGGTTGAGAACCGCTGCTCTAAAGGCCTGAGTTCTCTGTGGTCCGGACCGCAGATCTGTCCTCTTTTATCTATACTCATTCACATGATCTCATTAGAGCTTTAAATACCATCTGTGTGCTGACCAGTCCCAACAGCCTCTCCTCTGAAATCCAAACTCACAGCCTAACTATTCAGTCTCCATTTGCACATCAGCAATCTCAAAGGCACACAGCCAAAACACAACCCGACTTCTAGCCCCTAAACCTGCCCCTCTCTGGTCTTCATGATCTCAGACTGAAAACCTAGGTGCTATCCTTGCCTCTTTCCCTCTTATTCTACTACTAATCCACTAGGAAGCCCCACGGGTTCTACCTGCAAGGCACATCCTACATCAGACCACTTCTCACCATTTCTACCACCACCTCCCTACTCAAGTCATTATTCCTCATTTAGACCATTCCATTCGCCTCCTAATTGGTCCCCTATTTCCACCTCGTTTCCTGTTCTTCACATGCAGCAGCCAGCCTGGGCTTTAAAAATGTAAATGAGATTATGCCACTGTCCTGATCAAAACCTTACAAGTGTCCTATCTCACTTAACACAACCCAGACTTCCTCCCAGTGCCTCCCTCCGTGACTTACCCCTTCCCCTCAGTGCGCTCTCGGCTCCAGCCACAGTGGCATTCTAGCTGTTCCTGAACACACTGAGCTAAATCTCGCCCGTGTCTTGCACTTGCTTGACAACTCTTCACATGGGTTGCTCCGTCATGTCCCTTAGATTTCTGCTCAGCCCCACTTCCCCGAGTGGCCCAGCCTTTCTTTCCCTCCCCCACTATAACTCTCTACAGGTCTTATTTTTCCTTGGCATTTTGTTGATGGTGTACCTCCTCCACTATAATGTAACCTCCATGTAACATACAGCCTTGCTTATTGCTGTATCAGAAGCACACAGAACAGCACCAGGTATATCTTGGAAGCTTAGGAAATATTTGTTGAATAAAAGGAAGGGAGAGCGGAGGGACAGAGAGAGGGAGGGAGGGAGGGAAGGAGGGAGTAAACAAGTAGTCTAAATTAGAAAGGAAGTCAGGGGCTCCAAGAATAATGTCTCAAGAAGAAACTGATTTACCTTTTTTTAAAAATAGTGATAAGGTTAAATGCTCTGAATTAGAAAGAAAAAGCATAGTATTACATTTTTAAAAACAGTAATTATAATACTGTACACCGCCACCTTACTTTCCACTTCTCAGTTTTTTGCTTGTGGCAATACTCATCTCAAGTGGCATAGCCGTAATGATACAGGATTATATCTACTTCTTTACAAGTCCAAACATACTACTTACACATTCATGATACTATAAATGCTGGTTTTATATTTTCGATAGACCCAGGATTATAAACTCAACGACCAAGGGCTAAAGGGAAAATGTAAATGGTGAAACGGGCCGGGTGGACCACGGTGAACCGAAGAGCATGCGCTCAGCCTCGGAGCAAGCAGCTGCTCTCATCTAGTGAGCGGCGCCTGTGGGAATCTATGCCAAGTGTGACCGAGTCAGCTGACGTGTTTAGGGGAAGCTGAAATCTGGATTTATGTGACAACTCCCAATTATTAAACATTATCAACTAGTTCAAAAACAACATCCTATGCAAACCAAATAAAGCCTCAGTTTATAACCTCTGATACAGGGAAAGCTTGGACTAAATTATAGCTAGCAAACATAAATGTTAATACTGTTCAATAAGTGAAATAAAAAGTAGAAAACCAGGAGGAGATTATAATCTCATACAAAGAGCATAAGCCTGAATGTTAAAACATGTCCCTACCTGGTAACTAACTATTTTCTTTCCATCACTTCCAGTCTGAGGTAAGGTCAACGGTCCAGATACAATCCAAACATCTTCAAACCTCTCTGTCAGTTCTCGACAGTACATTTCTATTCTGAAAAACAATGCAAAAAAATGTATGATATTCTCACAGGCTTAAACGTAGAAAAGAAGCAAACCATACCAAGTCCCTAGGAAAGATGCCAAGGATACTTAACTAGAGACATTAATATAAACAAGATATGGCACAAAACATTGTAAGCATGTAAGCAATGCTGTTCCGTTTGTTTACCACACAAAAAAACTTAAAAATCACACACATTAATACAATTATCTAAATTTTACTCTGTGTGCATTGTGTTCATTTTAGAACTGAAATTTTGTTTTGTTTTCTTCCTTATTTTTCTATGCTGTAGTTCTTAAACTTTCACAAGAATGAAATATCATTCCAACTAAGTTGATCTTTTTATTTAAGTACTAGAGGCCCAATGCACGAATTCGTGCATGGGCGGGGTTCCTTGACCTGGTGGGCGATCAGGGCCGACTGGGACTGGCTGGCCGGGGGGAGGGACTGCAGGAGGTTGGCCGGCCGCAGGAGGTTGGCTGTGGGAGCGCACTGACCACCAGGGGGCAGCTCCTGCGTTGAGCATCTGTCACAGTGACCAGTCTTTCAGTCGACTGGTTGTAATGGTCGCTTAGGCTTTTATATATATAATTTCCTATTGTGGGGCAATTGGGTTTATCCTAACACTTGTTATATAATGCAACATTATATTAATTCCTTAGAATAAATTTCAAGGGCCAAAATTACTTTACTGAATATTTTAATGACACTTGATTATATGTCCTACTAATATTTTTAATGGAATTGTTCCACTTTACTCTATAAACTGCAAAATGACACAGCAATTTTACAGCAATCTTTACCACACTGGGATGTGTCACTTAAAAACTGTTTTTGCTCATTTACTGGATAAAAATGGCCAGTAGTTTCAATATGCACTTCTTATACTGCAGGTGAGCTTCATGAGAAAAAAATGCATGTCACCATTCCTGTTTCATTATCTAAAAAGTAAAGTCATAGCATGTATGCCCAATAACAAAGTAGAGTTTTCCTCCCCAAAATATATCTCTTAGGATGTTAAACGCTTCCATATGTTTGTAATCAGACAGAATATGAAAAAGAAACCATAGGACAAATATCCCAGATTTTCAACAAATAATTTACAAGAAAAAAAGGGGGGGAAGGGAAACTTATGATTAAAAGGGACTGAAGAGAAATATCACCCAAATCTACATGTAGAGACCTTGTTTAAAGCCTGATTCAAACCAATCAACAACAAATTAAAGACAATCAGGAAAATTTGAACACCGACTGTAAAATTGGTAATAAGGAATTACTATTAATTTTTGGTGGCAATAATAGTACCATAGTTATATTTTAAAAGAATCTTTATCTTTTAAAAATATATAGTGAAATAGTAAAATAACATATCTGTGACCTGCTTACACTAATCTGAGTAGAGTAAGGGGGGGGGGAGGTATGTAGACGACACAGATGCGGCCCCAACTGATAACCACTGCAGTCAGCTGTAGTGTGCAGGTGCTCTCTTAGTTACTTCATTTTATTCCACAAAAGTACTACTTGGGGAAAACACAGCAACTGGAAACAGTCTCATTCAGTGCTAGTTTTAAATGCTTAAAGAGATACCCTGACAGAACAGATTTAAAACTGGTTAATGGTTATATTTAATTGTACCAATTTTTTTTTAAAGCTAGTAACTCTTGAAATACAAGTAGAGAAAAACACAGTGTTTTCTGGACATATTAAAAAAATACTTTATGCCTTAGCAATAGTATTTTCTTCCAGAATTTGACTTCTGACCAATGGCAAACATGATCAAAATGACTGGCTATGGCCCTAACCGGTTTGGCTCAGTGGACAGAGCGTCAGCCTACGGACTCAAGGGTCCCAGGTTCGATTCCGGTCAAGGGCATGTGCCTTGGTTGCGGGCACATCCCCAGTGGGGAGTGTGCAGGAGGCAGCTGATCGATGTTTCTCTCTCATCGATGTTTCTAACTCTCTATCCCTCTCCCTTCCTCTCTGTAAAAAAATCAATAAAATAAAATAAAAAGAATGAAAATGACTGGCTATGTTTTGAAGTCTGTCCTCCCATAGAAAACTATACTCCTGAAATACAGCAAAGAAAACTAGTCCAAAGTACTTCATGAAAGTACTTCCAGTAGAAATAGCTTTTGAAAAACAAAGACAGAAACAGCTGATAAGCAACTAGCAAATTCTCCTCACATCATTCATCTCCCACAGAATCACACCTTTAAAACTCTCACCTCACCTGTTCCAATATCCAGCATTATTATCAAAATTCTGAGGCACAATATTAGAAAGGTAGAAGGTTTCAGCCATGGCTTTCTGTGAAAAGAAATAACAAGAGTAACTTGTACTGAAATGCCTTCTCCCCCGGAGATTTTACAAAGCAGAGAACACCAGCTCCTTATTCATGTGTTAGCTCTAGGCAATTAAGTTATTTAGATAAAGGAAAGCCAGAGGTATGCCAGGACACAAAGTTCAATAATGATTATTCAAAATAAGGACTATAACAAAATAAGTAGATTGGTGTGCTAGCTTTCTTCATAATTTATAAAATTCAAACCTATAGTGTAGATTCTAAGAACTAAAAGTTTCCAATATGAAGCTGAAGAGTTTTACCCTAAATTCTGGTTTTAAACCTCTGGCAGTTTCTCAAAGGTCAACTTTTAGGAATTTTATTTAAGTAGCACAGTACAAACATATCAGTTCAAAGGTGCAGAGAAACATTCTTGTTCTGGCCACTACATGTTCATTCATTTTGCACTTCTGACCCATAGACACAGAGCTCTGTAAGTATATTTCCTTTCATTGAGCTACACTAACTGCCAAAGACAGTTACCGTCTCTTCGAGCAGTGGCTCTCACCCTTGGCTGCACATTGGAATAAACCAGGGAACTTTAAAAACATGGATGCCTGGCCCGGCCAGTGGCTCAGTTGGTTGAGCATCCATCCTGTGCATGGAAAGATTACTGGTTAGGTTCCCAGTCAGGGAACAGACCTGTGTTGTGGGTTTGGTTGGGGTACATACAGAGGGCAACAAGTTGATGTTTCTCTCTCTCTCTCTCTCCCTTCTTCTAAACATGTCCTCAAGTGAGGACGCCTGCATTCCACCACCAGAGTTTCTGACTTACCTGCTCTGGGTTACAGGCCTGGGCATCAGGAATTTTTAAAACTCCCCTAGGTGACTACAATGAGTACCTCGAGTTGAGAACCACTATCTTAATGATGAAAATCACCAACAATTCATGCAGTAAATGTCAATGTCATAAAAGACATGTATCTTCTTTTTTAGCAGAGAAATTATCCTAAATTAAAGGAGACTGGAGACATATGACAACTAAATGTATTATGTGATTCATAATTGGATACTGGATCCGAAAAAAGCTATAAGAAACATAATTAGAACAATTTGGCAAATCTGAAATGCAAACTGTATATTAGAAATTATTGTACAAATATACAAAAACACATATGCACACATTTTTGGGTATAATGACACTCTTATCATATCTACAAATATTCTTTCTTAAATGATACAATCTCCTAAGCCGTATATTTTGAAATGAAGTGTTATGATGTTTGTGACGGCTAAAATTTTATACACACACACATGTAAAGTAAATGTATCAAAATGTGTTTGCTGTACTCCCTTTTCAACTTTTCTACAGGTCTGACATTTTTCAAAATAAAAACGAGTAGCTTTAGCTCCTTTTGGCTTTCCAGTTCCCTTTTACATAGCTTTAGTTTTCCTCAACCTGTTTAAAAATGTCTCAGCATCTGAGCAAGAAATAAAGTCAGGGAGGGAAAAAAAAAAAGTATAGAAAATCTCAAGTTTTAAGGTCTGGCTGCTTGATGGTTAACCTCCACGTCCCACGGCACAATGCCAGCCCCACATTCCCATCCCTCCCCCACGATATGCTTACAGATGAAAACTTGTTATTTCCCGCTGGAGCCATGTGTCCTCGTGACCACCCACTTCCAATGTAGTCCTGGTTCAAGGCACTGAAGGTTGGAGGGATGTTGGGATCAGGCTTGAATTTACAATTTCTTCTGTCTGCAGCACCTGAAGAAAAACACACAAAATGACTAAGTTATCTGTGGACCAATGTCCCTCACAATTCTCTAAGCAAGGCAAGCTGGTTGCTCTGGCCAGTATCTCTCTGAGCAGCTAGTAGTTAGTGACTGCATGCATGTCTCAAGTTCCTGGGATAGTTCAGATACTTCATCTGAATTTAGCAAGGACTAGTCTAGGAAAGAATGCTTTTCATACAGTGTAGTTATCTCATATACTTTTGTTTCTAGCCTTTCAAGTTAAAGGGGGAAATATTTCCTGGATAGTATTTACATAAAAACAATAACCAATTAAATAGCTGAGCTGTCTAAATAAAAAGCTTAGCTACTAAATACATTCTTGCTTTTTAAAAAGACCCCCATATATTGTATTTTGTACAACTGTATTTGACAAGTTTACATGGACTGAAATAAAGGATATATATAGACACAAAACAATTTGTTCTGGGCAGGCACAGCCTAGCCGAGGGGGAGAGTGTCTCTGATATCTTGCTTACTGCCTCTTAAGCCATGACAAAACAAGTATTTAAGTTATGAGCTCAATCCAAAAAATTCCAGAAATAAAATATCTAAGTACCACATGGGAGAGAAGAAATCTCAATTTTACTTATATTCTGATACCTCCGGAATAGTGTGCCACAGTGGACATCAGCAAATCCTAACTCTACATTTTCTATCATTAGGACAGAGCTTATTCAATTACAACAATTATGAGGATAGATGGAATATACTCAGACTGCTACTGAAAAAAAAAAAGTGTAAAATGGAGATCAATAAAGTTACTGACTGCAATGTCATTTCATTCAGCCAGGAATAATTTTTAAATTATTAGATTCCAAGGTTCAGAGTAAAGTATCTAATACCTAGCTTTTCAGAATCTTCATAAAGAAAAAGTTACTGGGTATTCAGAAGAATTATTAGTAAACTTCTCCAAGTGTCACTACCACTGAAATCGCTTCCTTGCATGCCTGATGCTCACTGCCCTTGAAAAATCATTTGTGGGAATTTCTAAAGGCCTAGGATGAAGATGCCTTCTGGAGCATGCATATAAATTCACTTCTTCTAGCAGGTGTCTGGAGGCATCAGCAGTGGAGGACCATTTTAAACCAAGCTCAGGACTTAAGCTTCCTTGAGCAATCCAAGCTACAAGTCTGCACAGGCAGTCTGCGGCCTCAACTTCCCCAGAAGAAGCTTTTTATTCTACTTGTTAACCCTTCTCTGCTCAGGGCAAGACAACCTGCCATGTAGTCCCGCATGGTGGGCAGGCAAGTTAGTTCTGGTTCACCCTTCCCTAAGGGTGCAGCCCTCTGGGGTTCTAGGTTAATGTTGGGAGGGTCTCCGATAAGACAATCTACCTTGGGTGAACCCTAGGTCTTGCCTTCAGGCCACCGCACCCTATAAGGCTGCAGAACCAAAGGCAATGTGCCTTTGGTTTGCCAGGACTGCCTTTAACTCTCTGGATTCTGGCTTTTTCCCAAATATAAGTTGGGAACCACCATCTTGATGATGAAAATCACCAACAATTCATGCAGTAAATGTCAATGTCATAAAAGACATGTATCTTCTTTTTTAGCAGAGAAATTATCCTAAATTAAAGGAGACTGGAGACATATGACAACTAAATGTATTATGTGATTCATAACTGGATACTGGATCCAAGAGAAGCTGTAAAGAACATAACTGGAACAATTTGGCAAATCTGAAATGCAAACTATATTCTAGATATATAGCCTGGCAATTCTCCACTATCCTGTTGACTCTGCATTTTCATGAATGTATGATTTTTTAAAATATACTTCTTACATACCTCTAATAACATTCTTGTTTTTAGCAGGAGAGTTAGTCTGATTAACTTCTTCATTACTAAAAACAAGACACTTTACATTAAACTTAAGTAAATCACAGGTATATTCCTTCCTGTTTTCAAATATAAGTAATTGGCTCTATTTTACCTCCTCAAACCTTACACAGCTCATGGGTTTATTATATGAAACTCAATGCTTTTCTTACATGCCCCTGAAAGAAATAACTTAATAGCAGAATAAAATTAGTACAAGCCAAAATACCTTATTATCTTAGGAAAATTTTTGCATTTAAAGGAAACTCATTAGGCTTAAGACTAAATCAAATGAGTTTCCCTTGATGCAAATTTATAATCAAGTCTCAACTGCTATGATAACCGCTCATCAGTTTCTCTCCAGCGGCAAACACATTCCAAGCCTCCTGCTGTTATGCTGGTTGGTGTGCACTCTATGGAGGCACACACTCATTTTAATAGCAGCATTTTTATATACATAAAGATGGCACATGCTGCAAAGCAAAGGAGATATAACTTGTGGGCCACATAGCAAATTAAAAGGCAAAATACAAACTAAGAATAAAACAACTGTGACAAAAGGCAATATCCGTAATATATGAGAACTACTACAGATCAATTCAAAAAAGAGTATCCCGCCCTGACCGGTTTGGCTCAGTGGATAGAGCGTCAGCCTGCGGACTGAAGGGTCCCAGGTTCGATTCCAGTCAAGGGCATGTAACTTGGTTGCAGACACATCCCCAGTAGGGGGTGTGCAGGAGGCAGTTGATCGATGTTTCTAACTCTCTATCCCTCTCCCTTCCTCTCTGTAAAAAATCAATAAAATATTTTTTTTAAAAAGAGTATCCCAACTGAAAATAGTAAAGGATAATTCACAAAATACTAAACCTCACTGGCAACCAATAAGTGCAAGTAAAACCAGCTATTAAACTGGTAAAGCCCAAGAATGCCCATTATGGGTGAGGGTTGAGAGAGAGGACAAATAGTGATGGCAGGAGTGTAAATTGAAATAATCTACCCAGAAATCAATTTGACATTGAATATCAAGACCTGGTCATCTTAATTACAGGAATCTACCAAGACTTAAGGGCACATGAACAGATTTCACACACCTACCTACCTCTCAAGTCTCATTTCACATCATGGCCTCCCTTGCTGCAGCCACTCTGGCCTTCTTTTAGTTCCCAAACGAACACAACTCTTCATATCGGGGCCTTGAAAGATGCAACTGTGCTTTTCTTTCTGCCTGGAATGCTCTTCTCCATATCGCATGGCCCACCGACTCCTCTGCCATCCCCCCTTTAGGCCACTTTGTTAGAGAAGCCTCGCTAATCAAAATCAGGTTCCCCTGTTATGATCCCTTATACTCTCCACTGTTCTTTGATTATACAAACTGCAATCACATTTCCCTCAGAAAAGTTATCACCAACTGTAATTATACATTCATGATTATTTGTTTGGTAAGTCAACCCACACCCACTCCACCTCAAAGTGCCATGGTCACTCCTATATCCCCAAGATTTAGCCGTGTCAGACACACTAAAAGTAGCTGTGGAGAAAACGAATGAATGTTGCTTATTGCAGCAATACTGATGACAAATTTATGTGTCAACATATGGATCCTCTCAGCCCCTGAGGCAGCTGGGAAGGGTCTGGGACTCCCTGACTGCCAGACAGGGTCCGTTTATCCAGTGAGCTACACAAACATCATCTTCTAAACGTGCTGTCACGTGAAAAAGGTTGAGCTGATCGCTAATGCCCCGTGTTCCACATCTGGAAACACCTTACAGCGATGCCTTCACTTCTAACCACCTACCCATGATCTTGCTTTTGGATATATGCTCAAGAACCCATCTAGGCACCCGCTTCGACTGGTCGTAAGACAAGGCATGGTTAGTGTAACACCTCGTCTCCGTTCCAGTTAGAGGAAACCCAAACTGTCCCAAGAGAGCCTTTTCTGCAGAACCTAAAAACGAAAACAGGGGGAAAAACAAAAAAAAAACCAAGTTAGTGACTCTTATTGGGAACAAAAAATTATAAGTAAAGGAAGAGGGGCAAGACTGACAAAGGATTGGCTCAAAAGTTAATCAACCAAGAGATCTTGTTTTTGCAATTACTTGTAACTCAGACAAGAGACTGGAGACAAAGGGCAGGTCTTGCCTATATCCAGTTGTGTAGTTATAGCAAGATAAACTGGAGCTCTCTCCTTCCCTTTCAAATAAGGACCTGATCTGACTGGTCTTTCACATCAAAGTTGCAAATCTCTGCCCCACAAAGTACTGTGTATACAAAAGCAGCAGAGGAACAACTCTTGTCATTACTAGTCATTGGCATGACTGAACGGGAATGAGCCGCCCTACTCATTAGGTCTTAAGAGTTAATGTGGGGCCTGGCTGGCGTGGCTCAGTGGTTGGGCAGAAACCTATGAACCAGGGAGGTCACGGTTGGATTCCCAGTCAGGGCACATGCCCAGGCTGCCAGCTGGGTCCCCGGTAGGGGCAGCCAATCTGTGATTCTCTCTCATCATTGATGTTTCTCTCTCCCTCTGCCTTTCTCTCTGAAATCAATAAAAATATATTTTTTCTAAAGAGTTAATGTGGGGAACAAAGCACGGCCCTTTTAAATTTATTTATGTATTTATTTGTTAATCCTCATCTGAGGATATTTTTTCCATTGCTTTTTAGAGAGCGGGAGGAAGGGAGGAAGCGTATAGGGAGGAATGGGAGGAGAGAAAGAGACACATTGATTGGTTGCCTCCCACATGCACCCCAACCAGGGTGGGGATCCAACCTGCAACCCACGTACCTGCCCTTGACCGGAAATCGAACCCAAGACCCTTCAGTGCATGGTCAACACTCTAACCCCTGAGTACACCGGCCCGGGCTTCAGTTTTTTTAAAGGTCTTTATTCACTGACACTATGCCTCATGGTTCTGGTATTGCT